TTTTTCATCTCCTCGATTAAGTCCTTCCATTGCATCTAAATTACTTGAAGCTAATGCAAGATTTATTAAGTCATTATTGGAATTAACAGCACACAATAAGTGCCTCCCAATAATCAATTACGAAGCATGAATATGATGATTGCATATTTGTTATTGATGATTGATTATTAACAAATGGTTTACACCTAATTTTTGTAATTAAATTATATGAAAAGTATAAATGTTAATTTTAATTTATTTAGTTAATTAATTAAAATTTTACACATGCTAATCGTATTAAAATGAAGATTAATTTTTATATTTTTTAATATAAATTAATTATAAAAATATATTTATTATTTCTTTAATTTGCAAGGCAGGGACATGTTAGATAAATCCATTAACAAAAGACAAAGATTAATTGCAAAGGAAAAAACACAAAAAAAAAGAAAAAAAAGAAAAAAAGAAAAGAAGTAAAGGACTAATGCTTGCTTTCTCAGAACAATCCTTCTTCCAAAGCCTCTCAAATTGTCTTAAAGGTTGAACTTGAACATACGCACTCTAAAATACAAATGTTAAGAAACAGAGCACATAATACAATATAAATCTTTTGAGAATAGTATTTATTAATTGCATTTATAAAAAAATTAATCAAAAAAATTTCAAAACTACATCTTTTCTATAATGCATCACAAAAAAAAAAAAAGTCTCATTCATTCATGATTTAAAAATTAAGATATTTTATTTTTTGCAATAGAAATTTACTGAAATAACAGAATTTTGAATTATTTTTCTGTTTAATTTTTTACAAGTTTGACTAATAAACATTTTTATTTAAATCTTTTACCTAAATTTTAAAAAAAAAAACACCCACACACACACCCACAATATATAAATCAATATTATATAATGACAAAAAAATTAATGTTTTTTTTCGCAGCTATTGTTGAATTTCGTACAGATATTGTTTGGTCATGGATCTTATGGCATGGACTAAAAGCTATTCTTGGAATTCCAAGTTTCATCATATTTTTGGTCTTCAAATGGAGGAGAAGGCATTTATCTATGTATAATTCTATTGAAGAATTCTTGCAAAACAACAATAACCTCATGCCTGTAAGGTACTCTTACTCAAAAATCAAGAAAATGACCAATGGTTTTAAAGAGAAATTGGGTGAAGGAGGTTTTGGTCAAGTTTACAAAGCAAAGCTTCGGAGTGGTCGCCTTGCAGCAATAAAGATATTGGGCAAATCAAAAGCTACAGGGCAAGATTTTATCAATGAAGTAGCCACCATTGGAAGAATTCACCATGTCAATGTGGTACAAATGATTGGCTTTTGTGCTGAAGGATCAAAACGTGCCCTTGTCTATGACTTCATGCCAAATGGATCTCTTGATAAACATATTTTCTCAAGAGAAGGCAATACTGCAACTTTGGGTTGGGAAAATCTATACAAGATTTCTCTAGGAGTGGCTTGTGGGATAGAGTATTTACACCGAGGTTGTGATATGCAGATCTTGCATTTTGATATCAAGCCTCACAACATTCTTTTAGATGAGAACTTCACTCCAAAAATCTCTGACTTTGGTCTTGCTAAGTTATACCCAATCAAAGGTAATACTGTGTCCTTGACTGCAGCAAGAGGAACTCTAGGATATATGGCACCTGAGTTGTTTTACAAGAACTTAGGTAGTGTCTCTTACAAAGCTGATGTCTACAGTTATGGGATGTTATTGATGGAAATGGCAAGCAAAAGAAAGAATGTGAACCCATTTGCAGAGCATTCAAGTCAGATCCACTTTCCTTCATGGGCATCAGAACAACTAAACAACGGAATGGAGCTAGAAATAAGAGAAGCCACTGAAGATCAAAAAAGAATTGCAAAGAAAATGATCATTGTAGCTTTGTGGTGTGTACAGATGAAGCCAATTGATCGCCCTTCAATGAACAAAGTCATAGAGATGCTTGAAGCAGAAGTTGAGAGCTTACAAATGCCTCCCACCCCTTTCCAGCTTTATCCCCATGCAACACAACAAGATGATGTTACAAAGAAAACCTACCTCACGGAATCTACTAGTTTTTCTTCATGCAATGATATAGAGATTGAGTCAATTAGTTTAGTTGGAAATGAAAATTAAGTGGGATGGTGGTGAAGAAGCTTTTATTTGTATTAGATTTGCTTCCTTTACAACATAACCAAGGCAATGAATTTGGTGTTGCGCTAGTTTGTTTGGCAACCTGATAGTTATGTATATTTTGAAGTGTGTGAACTAGTTCTAATTATTTTGCCTATAAAATCAATTGAAGAATTCACTAGAGTTAATTTTTATGTTTCAAAACTTAATTAAACTTCAGCTTAACACTTTGTTTGAGAACACTTCTTGATACTTTAGCTTTTAGCTTTTAACTTTTATGTCTTTTTACTATTTTAAAAATATATAAAATGTTAATTAAAATAAATATTAAATATATTTTA